AATTTAAATGATACAGATTATTTTGTTGCTTTTTCATAGTGTGTTATATGCTGGTTTATATTCCTGTTTACCTGAGTCAGTAGAACATATTAACTAGGATTGGGTTCTGGAGTCAATCAACCACTTGGGTTCAAATTCTGGTGTGGTCACCAACTTTGTTTTGGCCTCGGTCTTAACCTCTCTTTGCCTCAGTTTCCTCATCTGTAAACTAGAGGTACTAGTAATATTGACCTCCGAGAGTTGCTTTGAAGCTTAAGGCATTCAGAGCGGTGCCTGGAACATGGTAAGCATTCTGTAAATGTCAGCCGTCATGGTTATCCTCAGCCATACTCCTTGGCGTTCTGTTGAGATGATACATGTGAATTTGCTGAAGCACCTTCTATCCCTCTGTTTTCTGCTCTTGTTTTAAAATTTAGGATGTGTGTGTCCTCCCTTCCCAGCCTTAAACGAATGTCCTAGCTTCTTTTTTCTAACTCCTATAGAAACTCCAATTTCAGTGAAGGGCGTCTCATCACACTCAGGTCACACGTGACAAATGGCCTTTTATTACATGTTGATTACAGTTAACCTTCATTTCTTTCATGGCAGCGGTGTGGTGCCTTCTGTTTAAATAGAGCTGTTCCTGGATATGACTTTTCGAGCCTCTCTGGGTTTAATTCTAATTTAACTTGCCGTTCCAAATGGGACTGTTGTGTAACTGAAGGCGTGATGCACTCATTTGTTTTCTCTACGTCTAATTATCACAACGCAGTGCCCATGAGGCCCCCTCGGGCATTCATTCACTTTTCTAAATGGTGGAACCTTCTGGGGAAGGGAGTGGGCCTTTAGTTACTGTTCTTTTGAACTGCACGGATATGTTTATTAGTGCAGTGTCTGGGAACACACTAGCAACTCTTTTACCCTGACCATTTTCATCATACCGGGCTTATTACCAAGGATTATTGGAAGAATCCTCTGCTGGGATAGGCAGTAGTTTCTTGCGCATTTCCATTCTTCAGAACAAGGCCAACTTTTGAAGCACACAAGTCAGTGTGTGTGCATTTGAGGATACCTGAAGTGCTTTGGAAACGAAGGGCACATGGCTTTCAGAAAGCATAAGAAGGGCAGGATAGAAGCACCCAACATGTAATTATAGCTGTTCTGTTACCAATACCATGCTTTTAAGCCCCAGGATGAGTTAAGAATCAGTCCTTCACCCTTTTGCACTCACCTAGATGCTTACCTAGGATCAAAGGGAAGCTCTTTCTTTCATTCACCAGCATCTTATACGTGTTCAGAGGGATCTCAGCAGTCTCCCACTGAGAATTTTAATTGTAAGCTGTGCTTTAGAATGCCATTCTCTTGAACTTAAAGAACCAAGGCACTTTTATGTGCATGTGGTTTTAATGGCTACCCAGAATCCCAGATATTCAGTAGCCACTTTGTATACTATAGCATTTAAAACATGAAATTTAGGGAAATGAGAGCAAGAGTGAGGAATTGAGTGACCATTGTTGGAAGATTTGCAGTCAGAGGATCCTGGTAAGGATTAGTTAACCAATTAAAGATTCATTAATTAGTTGATTATATTAAATTAAAAATTAGGCATACCTGACTTAATACATTCTCCCATTCATCCATCTATTCATTCATTCTATTTAGCAAACATTTCTTATATGCCCACAATGTTCTAGGCTCCAGAGACACAAAAATACTTGGTACCAGCCCTGTGACTATCAGATTTCCTGCCATGGACTTGGCCAAACACCCAACCCACAATTGTCTTCCGCCTACAGTGCCCCCTAACTGTAGGATCATGCCGTGGGCCCCAGTACAGCAGCAGTCCTCTGTGGAGTTGGGTTGTCCTCTCCTCTTCCTGTGTTCTTTAAGCTCTTCTGCACTTTTTATTCTTTTTCACTTCAGCCCCACTTACCTTCCTGCCTTTCCACAAAGAGATCAAATAAGTTCTGAAAGGTACAGGCTAGCCTAAGGTTCTTTGATGTCTTCTGAGGATGTCTCTACCATTTAAAAAGGGGAACCAGGGAAAATTTTACCCACTGAATATCATTTTAAAGCTAGTTTTTGCTCGGTCCAGCTATTCATTGCACATACCTTTTTAAAAATTATTTTTATCATCATCATCATCTTTACACATATACCTTTAGGTGGTTGTTCTTCATAATGTCCTAAAACATTTCACTTTAAAATGAGGAAAACCAGGGTATGAAGTTTTGTAGAACATTAAGGCCGTCCACCTAACCTGTCTTCATTTAATGTAAATTCAGAAATCTGAGTGCAGTAATTTTATACCATTCTATAGCCCTTGCTTCCCCTTCTCTGCCTGCCGTATAGTTCAGTAGTTGATTGACTATATAGCAGCATTACTTCAGTCCCTTAAAGACCTACTTAGTAGTTACTCAGTTTTTTATTTCAGATTTATTTTTCACTTTTCTCTGTATACATGTATACATAGCAAGATAAATAGCTAAAGTCAACTATGGGCAAACAATATGTGTGTGTGATTATGCTTAGTTACATTTAGACTTCTGCGTACTAGTGTGTAGAAATTATTGTACAAAACAGAGGGTTCTTATTATAGACTTTAAGTTATAATTTGAAGGAAAGAAATACCATATCATATTCTCAATTTGAAAGATGTCAAACATACCACAACGTGAAAGTTTCTATTTTTGAGGGCCCCCAGTGACAAGATCCATATTTGTTTTTATGACTAGATATTCAAGAAGTGAATTACTGTTGCCCTCTTACCACACACACACACACACACACACACACACACACACACACAGTCTTAATTATTTGCAAAAATCACAGCCTATGCCAGAACATACCTTGTTAGGAGTGACTAAAGCTGTTCTCTCATGGGCAGACCTGTCACACTATTTTGACTCTTTTCACAATAGGCTCCAATCCCTACAACTGAGTCAATGGTGTGGAAAACCACAAATCCGTATTGAGTGATAAGAAGGCTGAAAAAGTGGCTTCGCTCTCCCATATGTTCTTTCCTTCAACTACTAGAAACCTTGCACAAAACTGTTTAAGATACTAGTAGATAAACATCATTTATATTTGATCTTATCTAATAATATGAAGCTTTGGCTACTGAATCTGTTATTTGTACAAGTGAAAAGATGCACTGAAAACCTAAAAGGCAAGTACATGGAAGGAGACATTCAAAACAAGTTCACTGGAGCAATGTTATAGTGAAATATTAGAAATAATTTATATGTCCATCACCTAGGAAATGGATTTTAAAATGCTGAGATGATATTCTTTGGACTACTCCCGTATTTCATCTGAGTCAAGTATCAAGCAACTACAGCCCGTGGATCAATTACAGCCCACTATTTGTTTTATAAATAAAGTTTTATCAGAACATAGCCATACTCATTTGTTTATATATTTATCTATAGCTACTTTCATGCTACAGTTGCAGGGTTGATTTGTTACAACATAGACTGTATGACTCTCAGTCAAAATAAAATATTCACTTCTAGCCCTTTACAGAAGCAATTTACCAACTCCTGATCTAGGTTAAAACACCATCTATTGTAAAATACACCATTACTTTATATACCACTAAGAAAGAAAAAAAAAATATGTCAAACTATGACAAGCTGTCAAATGTCAGAAGCATCCTGCTTTTAGAGACATTAAAATATTCATCTTAGAATCAATGAACTGTGGTATATAGCATTGCAAATAAACAATACAGTGTATCCATATGAACAGATCTCAGATCCTCGGTGTCAAGTGAACAAAAGTCAAGTGTAGAACAATTTGCAGAATCATGTGAACAGCATATTATTTATTTGTCTCTTAAAAAACACCAAACAATATAATGAGTTTCTGTGAATGCAGATATATATCAGTAAGCATGATTTAAAAGAATCGGAAGAATTTAAAGAAAGCTGATGATAGAGGTTTTCCCTGAGAGGAGAAGGGACCAGGATAATGATAGAAGGGGGGAGGGGTATCTTTATCTGTTGAGTTCAGGTTTTTCAAGGATTGATTTATTAATAGAAAGGAATTTTAAAAAGCATCAAAGCATGGAAAACCTGGAAGAAAGTAATGTCAAAGTATTAATAGTGGTAAATTTTTTATAGTAGGAGTATGGGTGATTTCTTTTTTTTAGTGTATTTCACTCTAATTTTCAAGAACTTCATGAATAACTAAAGAAGATGAGTCATGCTCTTCATTTCTATCTCAATCAAAAGACATTAAGGTTGGAAGAAGTACATGTTAATCGGTTACCTGACATTACAAACTAATCCTGTTTTTCTACTGTGGCATTAAGGTTAAACAATGTAAAAGTCAGGGCCAAATTTCATAGTTAAAACTTTTTTCCATAATGGGGTACAGCTAATCTTTCAATACAGTGAACTTTATTCCTCACCGTGAAAAACCACCAACGAGAAAAGTCAAATGTCAGGTGCATTTTACAGAACTGAAATAGCTTGTCATGAGTCATGTTATTGTTGTACTGATGTCATTTCTTTCAACCCGACCTTACTTGTTTTGAAATTACGTTGTGATTTTACACGATTGTGTATGTTGTCGTGTGCAATTCAGACCCTCATGTTACTTATTCAGTGCATTCATTTTGTCATTTGTCTACGGCAGGTCTTCCTAAAATATGCTCTGTAAGTGTCTTCACAAGTTCAAAAGTTTGAGAGGTAGTTTTAACACCGCCAGATTATTTCTTTCGATGATGGGGATCTACTCACTCACCACTGCTTTCATTTAGTTTTTGTTCTTGTCATTTTGTTGTTATTTTAAGCATGTCTTTCTCTCCCTAAGAGTGTTCCCTCAAAAATAGGTCTAGCTGCCTGCCTTCAAGATTAAGAAATGAAATGTGTGCCAGAAGGTGACAGCGGGAAATGTGGACAGGGGACCTTGAGTCTATGAAGCCGCAGGCTATGAGCCTCAGGTGTCATGGCAATGGAACCAAACAGAGTGCTGTATTGCTCACCATTTAAATCTACTTTTTCTTTTTCCAGTTCAATCTCACCATTTAGTATTGAGAGCACAAGACGCCAGAGAAGGTCTGAATCCCCAGACTCCAGAAAACGGCGTATCCACAGATGTGATTTTGAGGGATGCAACAAAGTGTACACAAAAAGTTCTCACCTGAAGGCTCATCGAAGGACACATACAGGTACAGCTCTGCAGGGCGTCTCCCCTGAGGGTCGCTGAGAGTCCAGAAAGGGCCAACTACTTGGCTTTGGAGCCATGAGTGTGCTGGAATGTTCTGTGCTCACCCATCACATGTGCATCATATGTTCCTTTCTGAGCGGAGTACATTCCCTCTCTCAGTTGAAAAAAGGCCTGAGTCTTCATGAAGTTTAGCAAGCAAAGAAGTATTTCTTTTGTGTCTTAAGGACTTTTAAAATAATAGTATGAACACGGTGGTCTAGTCTTTTTCGTAATCAGCGTTGCCACTTAATCGTTGTCTAGTTATTAGGTTTCAAAATGTCCACATAACATACCAAACAAGCTGAACAAAATCATTCTCTTAAAGTTATCGTTTTCACCACCACTTAGATCATGTTTTTCTCCCCTTGATCTCATCCCCCAAATAACCAAACAGATAACCCCCCTCCGAAAAGAAATGAAATAAGATTGACATATACATAGCACTGTGGGGAGTTTAAAACAATACTTCCACATGATTCCATTTGATTCTCACTGGTATTTTTTTGTATAAGAAGAGGATTTTTCGTATTCACAGTTTTCAAAGAAGGAAATTGAGATCACAAGTGATCCACTGACTTTGTCACCATCCATTCACCCATGCACCTACCCAGGAAAGAAGCCAGTGACTCTTCACTTAGCTCCCTACCCACCGCATCAATCCTCTACCCTGTGTGCCCCTCACCTGGCATCCCCTGGCTTCCTTGGCTTCTGGATCCCATTGGGTACCATCAATGGGAGGCTCTGGGAAGAGACCAAAGGTGGAAGGAGGGACCCCCAATTACAGAACTTTTTGGTCAGAAAAGTGACTGGTGACTGGAATGTGTGAACCTCAGAGAAGCAGAGAGAAGAGAGAAATTCATTCACACGCATTCCTGGTAGCAACGTGCTATAGAGCCAGTAACTATCCTCGACAGGAGTCAGCCTCCAGCACCTGCCTCTATCTGGGAGCTTCACGTGTAACAGACTCCTGTGGGGCTGCGTAAATCGTGCTCCCATCTCCGATACATTGAGAGACCACACTGTATAAACTGTTTCTCAGCTGAGGTAGCAAAATCATTTAAATCGTCATTCTTTGCCATTTATTGAGCCATGTTCTTATATCAGATTATTTGAAAGCTGCTTTACAGAGACTTTCGTGACTCTGATCGTTAAGATGGGACATCTTTTTGTGTGTGTGATGAAGTTATAGCACGGGATGCTTGCCTGAAGTCAGAAAAGCTTTATAGAATCCGAAGTTTACCTCTGCTTATATAATACATTAATACTATTACTGTTTCTAAGGGAATTCAACGCGGTGTGAAAACTGTCGCTTCCATCTTTCCTCCCTATCCCCAGTCCTTATCCCTTTTCTACTTAATTCCAAATTCTTTCCTCTCCATTGATCCAGAGCTTTCCCAGGAGAGGTTTTCATCTGTTTCTTCGGCACTATTTCTTCTTTTCGGTACGCGGGCCTCTCACTGTTGTGGCCTCTCCCATTGCGTCGGCATTATTTTTGAATCAATTTTCTTTCTTTCTTTTTTTTTTTTTCTTGGATCTGAAAAATTAAGCCATTTAATATTTAAGTTAAGTTTTTATTGAAGTTAGTTGATTTATAATGTTGTGTTAGTTTCAGGTGTACAGCAAAGTGATTCCATTTGACATACACATATACCTTTTTTTTTTCAGATTCTTTTCCCTTAAAGGTTATTACAAAATATTGAGTATAGTTCCCTTGCTATATAGTAGGTCCTTGTTGGTTATCTATTTTATATAGAATAGTGTGTCTTCGATTTTCTCATTAAGGCCAAGAATGCGTATAGAGACATGAAAGTTGAATAAGCATGTTTCATCTATCAGTAGACAGTGAACACAAATCGGAGGAGTAAGTACGATCAGCTCATATTACTGACTTCTTATGGGAGCATTTCAGTTAAAGGAAAAACAGAATGACGTTTCTTCAGTGAATCCTTGTATATTTTGAGTTACTTCTGTTTTCCTTGAACTTTCCAAAATACTTATTATCCCCATTTTCACATAGGCACCCTCTATTTCATTTATGCAAGTGATGAACAGTGAAAGAGAGGAAAAGTTTTAATGAGGTACTATTAAAGGATTGAATGTTATGGCATGATAGGATTGCATCTTATAGGTTTTAATATAGATTGTGAAAGTGGGGGAGATGTGATGTGTGCATTATAATTCAAAGCAATATAAACCTTTAATGCTGAAGCAGAAGTAATTAGTTTGGCTTATTAATAAGATGAAATCGTCGACTCCTAGGGTCCAAATGGACCTTATATGTCACCAAGTCTAGTTCGTTTCCTAGCTAGAGGTATCCTTGGGTGTCCTCTTTCACAGAGATCCAGCCCCTATACTATGCAGTATTCTGCACACTTAACATATTTTTTCTTTCACTTGATCCACACAGTAACCAGTGTCATTACCTCCTTGGTATGAGTGTGACTCCCGGTCAAGTATTATTTCCCATCTCTCCTTAAGCGCCTCGCGTGACAGAGAGCTTTTTCTTGTGCAAGACAAGTTGGGTGACATTTCTGAGGGCGGAGTCCTCGTCTCTTACAGCATTGAATTGTCTCTGATGGCGTTGTTTGGCTCCCGTTGTCTCGTTGTCAAAGGGAATCGCTCGAGCCATCACAGTGTAAATTTCACTTCCAGCACCCTGGTGCTCTTCTCAGCGCTGTCATGAACGGCTGGTATCTTCCTCTCTCCAAACTAGACACCCGCTGTTCTCTCAGCCACGTTTTCCTATATGCCAACATATCACAGTATCTTTTAACGTTTTCACACCACAAATTGAGGGAAGAGCTCTTGTTAATGGACGTCTCTTAATAGACGTAAAGATAATGATAAGTCTTTTAGCAGTTGACTCTGTTAGGTCATCTAAATCAAAAACTGCTGAAAACTGGATCTTCCCATCCCCTGTACCTATAACGGATTTCTTTTCAACTTAAACGCGCAGTGTTGTATTTGTCATTGAACCTGTCCCTCAGATGATGGCTCCCTTGGGAATAGTGGGTTTCCCGTCACTGAGGTGTTTTGCCCCAGGCTGGGTGACCTCTTGTGGGAGATACAGGACAGAGTCATTACTATGGGGGGGCTGCACATACCCTTTCAAGTCTGGGAAATAATTATACTGCATCCATTTTATTGACTTGGGCTCATTATTCTAATAAATTGAAAAGATTTTGGAGCGCTCCCTGCCCACCTTGCTTTTACTTTTTTAGCTTTCTCCTTCAGCTTCTCCATTTTTCCAAGTACTAAGCAGAACAGGTTCAAGGAAAAAGCCCTGAGATGTGATGTTGGAGACTTCCATCCAAGTGGGTCTTAATTTATTAACTTACAGCTAAGAATCCACTTAGTTGTCCTACTCCAATCCATGTTTCTTGATCTCACAGCTGCATCCGAAAGTCCTTGTGAAATTCCTGCTCCAAACCCAGATACGGCAAATTCATCCATCCACTTAGCAGAGAAATACTTACTCTGCTCAAGGCAGAGTCTCCTAAACTACCAGTCAAATAACAGTACTTTTAAAAAGAAAGAATGAAATTTGCTTGATTTGCTGCCACTGGTTCAAAGTGAGCCCATACTGGTTTCTGATTTATAATTACATGCAAGATTTCATAACTTAGGGTTCAAAGTAAAATCAACACTAGTTCTATAGGGATTCGGGTTGGCTTGCTTTGATTTTAATAAATATCTTCTTAGCCTTACCTTTGCTTCAGGCATATTGCGTAAGTTATTTGTGTGTGACCAGTAATAATGAATGTGAAGTTTGGGATTATAACAGATGACTTATGAGAACTACACACGCAATGGGAGGTGAGCAAGGGACAACAAGACACTTTCTTTGAGAAAGTCACGTTAATTCTACCTTTAACACTTGATCTTTTGTGCTTTATTAGCACATGATCAGTCATCTGTTTAGGACTTATACGTACAGTAAATTAAACATATTTGTAGGAGCGTGAAAGAGGATCATTTTCTATATATTAACGAGGAATTTAGAGTAAAAAATAAAAGACATGCTGAAGAGTACCTTTTAAAAATAATTAAATATCGTTTCATAAATGTGCAGTTTAGATAATAACATAAATGTTTGACCAAATATTTTTAAATGCCTACTAACACCTGTCTGTGGTAAGTTGTTTAAGGCACTTTCAGTAGAAGGAAAAAAATATATCTCGGTCATCGCATCCGCCCCTTTGTCAGCAGGTACATTATTCCTACTCACGGGCCTAAATTGTGTGTTTCCTCTGCATGAAGCAGTGTGCAGTGTATTTAAATGAATATGCAGTGTATTGAAATTAAAGGTCATTTAAATCTGTGCTAAACATAACTACTATGTATTAATACAATGAGTTTCCCTCACTTTAAGAATTTCATTACTCGTTAAGTGATCTAAATATGAATTTTAGAAAAAATGGTTTTATGAGTTTGGTATTGCTGTTTAGAATTCTTATTCCTTTCTAAAAATGTATGCCATTGTGTTTTCTAAAATGCAGTTCAAGCAAATAACGCTCAGGCACCCGTGATTCTTACAACCACTAGATGGCGAACTACAACCAGATGTTGGGTCTAGTCTAAGAGGGTCCAAGGAAGAGTCAGCTAGAACCCTCTAGTGGTACGTTTGACAGGGCGTGATGATCACTGCTCTGCAGAATATTATAATTTAATGATGAACAAGGAAACGGCAAGATAAAGATTTAAAACCAGATTTTTAAATAAGTAGTTTTGACCTATAAAAATGTTGTTTCAGATGAATCTGAAATTTTCAACTTGGTATCCTGCTCTCTAATAAATCTGAGGCTCATTTAGCCAATCTTGTCTAATAATCATTTGAATTCATATGAAAACGATACAGCAAAGTTTTAAAAATTAGTAAATATAGAGAAGCCCCGTGTCTTATGTCTGGCTTTAGCAAAAATAATTCATATCTGAATTTTACACATCAAGGAAGTTAACTCA